TTCTGTAAATAAGGAAGCTGAGGTACAAAGGTGACTGTGACTTGCACAGTCATGCACACTTGGTAGGTGGCAGAGCTAGAGTTTAACCTCTATACCCAGGAAAATACTGAACAGTTCTCTGGTTCCAGTGAATTCTATGAGATCCTGTCCCATTCGTGTTCCCATGGAAAGTGTCTTTTGACACATGCCTGTTCAAGACTGTCTTACTGATACCCATATAAACTTTGGGCTCTAAAGTAAGTCTCCCATGTCTATCATCACATAAGTCCGAGTCAGAAGATCTGCAGTGACCTACAACGGCTCTAGTCCAGGTTTTTTCACAATGTTCACACTCAGCCTTAAGTCCTTGGACCTCTCTTCTGATTACTAGTGCATCTGGCTAAGAGTTTGAATTTTTGTGAAAAGAAAATGGGGACGCATTTCATCAAGGTTCATTTCCTCCCTAGTTTCCTTCTTACCAGGTCTGAGACGTGACATTAGAAAATGTGATTAAAAAAAAAAAAATTAGGGGCTGGTGAGATGGCTCAGAGGTCTAAAGCACCTACTTAGAACAAGCTAAGCTAAGCAAAGCACAGGGACCGCGGTTCAATCCCCCAGCACCACATGCCAGCCAGCCCCGCCCCCTAGTGGGCTGAGCTGGCCACACACACACAAAAAATTAATTAATTAATTAAAATAAATTAAAAAAGAAAATGTGACTCAACATTTTGGGAACCTGAGGCAGAAGGAATGCAGGTTTGAGGCCAGCCTGGGCAACTAGGCAAAATGGTGCCTCCAAAAAATAAATAAATAAATCAATAAAAAATGAGGGCTGGGGATACAGCTCAGTGCAAAATCCCTTGATTCAATCCCAGGCACTGTAAAAAGAAATCCTTAGTATTGCAGAGACTGAAGGAAAAGAGAAGGGACGGAGGGAGAAAATATGGATCAAAATTTCCTGGTATTTTTCCCCCAGTACAGGCAATTGAACCCATGCCCTACCACTGACCTACAAAAAACAAAAATGTACATACATACCCTAGTATGTATATATAGATATAGATATAGATATATAGATATAGATATATTATATACACACACATACATCAATAAATTGCTAGATTAGCCTCAAACGTGCAATCTTGTTGCCTCCTGAGTAGTTTGTACCACTATACCTGGCATCCTGATGTTTCTAAATAAAGCACAGATTACAGAGCCAGCCATGTAAGTACTCTGGGTTAGCTACTATTACTATGTTTGCCTGGCTCTTGGACAAAATATTAATTTTTTTCTCAACTTCTAAATACAAATCATTTAAATATGGTCTCCTCCACCTGCTCAGAAACTTTTAATGGACAAGATGGAGTGCCTAGCCTTTATGGCACAATATCCCTACTCTTCATTCCTTCCAGTTGTCATTAATTCCTGGTCCCATGTGGATGTTGAGCAGATATTAAGCAAACTTTCTTTAAAGGAAACCTAGCTGAGGGGCCGGGGAGATAGCTCAGTAGAATAAGCGCTTGCCTGGCAAGCGCAAGGGCCTGAGTTCAATCCCCAGTTCCACCAAAAAAAAAAAAAAAAAGAAAGAAACCTAGCTGAAAACTCCTGCTATTACCCCCCCCCCCATACCAAGCTAGTTTTCATCTAATTAGTTTGCAACAGTCTATTTGGGAGTAGAACCTTTAGCTAGCTGCAAGAAACTCATCACTTACTGGTGTGGGTCCTACAAAATGTTTGTTCCCGAGCATTTCCAAAACCACCTAGCCAAGCTGCTCCTGTATCATTTCTACTACCCTCCTTTTTCAAAGCTTAGACACATAGTACACAGTAAACTTGTTTGCAGTAAGCATCACTGATGATGATACTGGCCCAGCATCTCTGAGCTTTCCCTCCAGGATCCAGTCTTGGTCACAACCGACTTCTCTCTTCCTTGTCCCTTACTGCTGGCCAGTGATCAGCTCAGCTCTAAGTTCCTACTCATTTCTACTCCAAGTGAGTCATCTCATATCCACAATTCCACTGAAACTCCACCCTGCTGGCTGACTGAGATTTCTCCTCTTCTAGCTGGCTAAAATTCAACTGCTAAGATGAACTTCCTCTCAACAGAACAGCACTTATCAACAATTTCTTCCCATTTCTACCACTTATTAGTCACACCTTCAAAATTGCAGAGAACTTCTAGTTCTTACACTTGACAGCTTTATTTTCCCCCCATCAAGATCTGAGGAGAGATCCCTTTTTCCACTTCTAAATGGCCCCAAATTCCATAGTTTTCTCTTCACCTAAATCTTTTCTAAGGCCTGCACAAGATGCCCTGTTCAGCTCATTTTCTCTACAGAGCCTTGTGGTGCCTGGCACACTACAAGCAGCTGCTCAATGTTTGTTTAAAAAATTCCATCTTCTCTCCCTCACCTTTTCTCCCTTTGCTTTTTCCTCTGTATTTTTTCCATGCTTTTGTTCCTACCTATACATACAGAATCTTTCCATATAATTTTTACTTCTGGAATTGTCTTTCATTGTACTGGTTTATTTTCAGGTGGATCTTTATACAGTGCTGACGGTAATGGAGCACAGAACAATTTGCAGAAATTTTAAAGGGCTCTCAGGAAGCTGAGGCAAGAAGATTGCTGGGAGTCTGAGGCCAAACTACACAACAAGAGGGTCTCAAAAAACAACAAACATGGGGCCAGGGGGACAGCTCAATAGAATAAGTGCTTGCCTGGCAAGCACAAGGGCCTGAGTTCAATCCCTGGTTCCACCAAAAAAAAAAAAAAGCTTTAAAAAGAACAAGTTTCTAGTTCCATGAAGATGTTTAGCAGCTATTAAGCCATCTTTCACTCAGGGAAACCACCGCTGAAAACTCCTGCTTTTATCCACAAACACTCAATAATCACAGTCTACATCTTGAGTCCCAACTGGCCACAGGTACTAGCAGTGTGACCAGCTACTGGTGATACAGCAGCTCAAACAAGCCTTTCCAGTCTGTAGCAATCAAGAGGTAGGCCCTACAGCCACAAACCTTGGGTCAAAATCCTGACATGAACAGCTCTGTGAACCCTCTTGTGCCATGACTTCCTCTCATGAAAAAAGGGAAACAACAGAGCGCCCCTGCTTTCCCTCCCCCCAACCACACGAGGACTGAATTAGGGCAAAGGAAACACTCAGAACAGTGCTTTGCACTAGGTATTTCTGTGTTAATCATCTCTGATCATTCTCCCTGTTAGATCTGGGCCAAATTTATAGACGTAAGACTTCTCCTCAGTGTCACTGCACAGAATTGTTGCATCTGCTACTTAGGCACTCGTGGGTGAAACTCTGCAAATCATTTAACTGAGGCCTACTTCCTAAGGTTGTTTCAGGATCATGAATCTATATTGTGAAGTAACAAGCACACTCAATTATTCACTATGCATCCTGTTATTCTTCTTAGTTTTGGATTAGGAAATAATTTGCAAATATCTAACTAAGTATAGAAAAAAATTAACGGCTGGCCAAAAAGAAAGAGTTCAAGGGACCTGGTCATCCTGGCACATGGTTTGGTGATCTGAGACACATTCTCTTACCTTCCAGGGTCCCCACTTCTGGAAGAGTGCATCTACTTGTTGCCTGGTAGTGAGCACGATGCAAATGATACATCTGCTAAGGCAAAGGCACTACTCCAGGCATTACCAGCATTAGGAATAATTACTCTCATTACAGTTCTATCAGCATGCTCACATTCACATACTTTCAAGAATAAGCCTATGGTTCTTCCAGGGAAAGTGATCCATACCTAGTCTTCACGTATCATGCTGTGACTGATTCTGGCTGTGACTCAGGTTCCTGTACTACAGTAATTTCAACTCTAAATAAAAATAATAATAATAAAAGTGTCCTCTGGAAGTGTCAATGTGCTCTACTTAAAGACTTCTCGAGTTTTCCCTGCCCTCAGGACTGGGCAAGCCTAACCCTTTCTAGCTAGAGCAATCAGATAGGCTGATGGCCAAGGTTGCTGTGGACTGCAGACATACTCTGGGTCCACCCAAACACTGCTGAACAAATTCTCAAACCCTTTGCTAAAAAAAGAAAATCAAAGCAAAGAGCAAAAAGCTTTCTATCTACTTGTGGCATGGCATTTAAGTGGATAAGAAAGGCTTATCTAAAATAAAGTGGAAAGGGAGTAAGGGAGGGATCTAGAGTCAGTTTCAAATCGCAGCTCCACACTCTAGGGAGATATTTGGATAAATTATTGACCTTTCTGCCTGTTTCCCTATCAGTAAAATGACCTTGGAGAGAGGGCCACACAAAATATGTACAAAAGCACCAAGGCCAGCAAGTGGCTTCACAGAAAAGCTGGGTACTGTCTATATACCTTTCTTGTGGTTCCTACCACATTCCAACTTTCAGGCACAAGTGGACATGATCTTATTCCCCTTCTAGACTGTAAACTTGGTGGCAGGATTTGAGAGTGATTACAGCATAGCATAAAGGTCAACAGCAGACACACAAATCTGATCCATACCCTGGCTCCAATCCTTGTTACACTCATGTGGCCACATTACTGCACTTTGCAGAGTGCTGTCTTCATCCATAAAAGAGAAAATGACATGTAAGCCCACAAGTGAGTTTGTGTGTATAATGCATTCCATGAATTTATGGAATAGATCTCTTGAAAGAACAAAACTGAAGCTTCAGGAAATGGTCCATAAATGGAAATGGCTAGGCGTGGTGGAGCATGCCTGTAATCCCAGCACCAGGGAGGCTGACGCAGGAGGACTGCTACAAATTCAACGCCAGCCTGCACTACACGGTAGTACATAGACCAGGCTGTACTACACGAAACACTGTCTCCAAAACAAAACAAAATATAACACAAAGTCACAAATGGAAGTCATTCTATTTCCCATTCCTGCATCCTTCATACCTCCTGACCACAGTTAATACTTGCTGGTTCGAAGATTTACGTACCTGAGACATTGCCCCACCCACCCAAATTCAGAAATACCAAGAAATGGGCAACTGCATGTGAAGGAGTGCCTTACCTCTGGAAAATCTCTTGTAGCGTTTCCCTTGTGAAGGCGTTGCTGTCCTGGAAGACGTTATTGAGGGCATGGAGGGCACAAAGTTCCCTGCGCTGTTTCTCATGGTAGATTTGTGGGGGTGCTGCCTGGGGCAGCTCCAAGGATTCAGATTTCACCTTGTCTCCCTTCCATGGTACGCAACTCATGTTTTTTGTTTTAGGTTCCAGAGAGAGCTGAAAACACCCTATTCTTCCCTCCTGAGGAAGATAGAAGCTTCTCGGTCTTTTCAGGATTCCTGAGGTCCACGTTATTCTCTGGTATGCAAGATTTATGCTTTGTCACTGGGAGAAAAGGTTGGAATCAAAAGGGAAAAAAAAAATCCAACCCTTCTCTCTTCTAAATAGAAAGGTAACTTTTGGACTACTTTACATCGCCATCACCATCAAAGTGCAGGATTTTCTTTTTTAAAAAATCATATATATAAAATATGAGACCTTGTTGCTTTTTCCTCACTCTCCTCCAGAAAGACACGATTTCCTTGATGTGTCTTCCTCTCTACAAATGCCACCCAGGACTCAACACAGGAGGACCAATCGCAATGGGTCACATCGCTCCTTTTCTTCCATTTCTTTCCAATCACGATGCCACCAAATCAAGACACGAGGCCTAGAGAAAGTGGTGGATAAAATGTACAACTCAAGCAGCTAGAGGCGGCCAGCCAGCACAGGGTCGCGGGCCGCGCTGCGGCCACTGGGGCAGCACTCCATCCTCTCGGGTGCGGCAGGCACGGCTCCTCGCGAAGCGCGGACCCTGGTCCTCTCGCCCCGGCCCTGCGAAGAAGATAACTGCTCAGTCCCGACCGGCCGCCGCCAGCACCGGGCGCGCCCGGGAGCGGGTGCAGCGGGCCGGGCCCCTGATCGCGGGAGGGTCCAGCGCCGCGCCACGCCGCGCCGCGCCCCGCCAGCCCGCAGGGGTGGGGCCGGGCATTCGTCGCGCCCTCTGGGCTTGGGCCCACCCGCTCCTCGCCCCCAAACAGACCTCCCCGTGCGTCATATGAGCTTAAGCCCAGGCGCTGTCCCGCCGCTCCCCGTACCCCGGCGTTACCCCCATACCCCGTACCCGCGGTGACAGCTCTCAGGGGTGCCGCCAGTCCCCCCTTCACCGCCTCCAGGACCTGCGGGCCGCCACCTGGGCCGCGCGCGAGGGCGGGCTGGCGGGCGGACGGGCGGGCGGGCGCGCGCGCGCACCTGAACCCGACGTCAGCAGCCGTCTCCTCGCGCGCACTCCGGAAACGCCCTCTCGCGCCAGCCCCGCCCTCCTGCCCAGGCGTCACTCGTGACGTCATCGTGACGCCAGCGGCGTTGGCTTTGGAACTCCTGCCGCAGCGGATCTGTCGAGGGAATTTAAGCAGCGCCGAAGACTGTGTAGGGCTACGGGTTGCTGGACGGCCGCGACCAAAGGCGGGCGTCCGGCTGGTCGGCGACCCGGCCCCGAGGCAGGGAGACACGCCTCGGCTCTCGCCCGCCCTCTTCTCTGCGCGGAGGCGCGGACGCAGGGCGTAGCCCTAGCCTGGGGCTGTCCTTCGTTGCGCGCTTCATCACGCGCTCGCGGGGTACAGTTCTTCCTCGAACCTAGACTGTGGGTCCTGTCTTGTTTTCTTCCTAGCGCCCCATTCACCAGCTGGTTTCGAAACAGGTCGGGCACAAATTGTTCTGGTTAGTGAGCCCGGCCGCCTCCCACTCCCTGAGCTCCGAGGGTTAGCGCTTTGCCAGTGGAAAGGAGAGACCTATTTCAGTTCTCAGTGTCGTGTTTCAGCTCAGCCCACACAAACCGCTGTCCTTTTGCCACACACCCCGCCCCCACGGTGGCTGTCACAGGGCTTTCTCTGCGTTTCCCAAGCTATAGCTGAGCGCTTTGTGTGTATCAGGAGGCACACAAACAGGTTTAAGTGTAGATTTTTCTCGGGCACGTGGAAGGCATCTATTACTTCCTTTTGAATCTGTTCAAAAACATTAAAATAAATCACATTTTCTTAAGTAATTTTGACCCTGTTTTGATGGCTGTTAAGACAACATTTCTCTCCACGGTGGTACTTAACGTGCCTGAGCGATTACCAAGTTGGTAGAGTCCACGGCTCTTCAGACCACTGTTGAATTATCTTAGATGTTTGTAATTTGTAAGCCTAAGGTTATGGTATACCTAAGGTTATGGTATACTCACATAAGGTTAATTATTGAGGGCTTACTGTGTAACAAGCACTGTTGTGTTTTGCCAAGTCATTTACTGTGAATTGTCTTATTAAACACTTCTCTTTTTAGAGAAGAAAACTGAAGCTTAAAGAAGTTAATCAAGTTGCTCAAGGTCACATATGGTGAGTACAGGTTTTGAACTAACCTGCCTTCCCAAAGAGGATGTAAGGTTTTTCCTTTGTAAGCCAGGGAATTTCCCCCCTTGAAATGTTATTGTAGATTTCCCCATTCAATTCAAGAAGCACCTACTCTGAGAATATCTTTTATGGGCAAAGTCATATAGTGCGAAGGGCATGTTTTTTAGACTTTTAGAGTTTACTGGGTGTCAGGTACTACCTTTTGTTTCTTTTCTTTTCCTTTTTTCTGTACGAAGATTGAACTCAGAACCTTGTGCTTGCCAGGCAGGCACTTAAGCTGCTCAGCTATCTCCCCAGCCCTTACATTTTGAACTTGAACTCTGTCTGGATGATCCAGTGGGTGAAACATGCTAAATATCAATCTGGATGATGGCGTGAATATAACACGGCCCATCTGATCATCAAAGTGTGGAATTCTTTCTCCCCAGAGACCAGTCATTTTTGCATCATACACCAGGTGAGAGCATCTTCCATTTCAGCTGTTACACTACCACATGGTAAGGCCCACAAGACCACTTCTCATTTCAGGTACAAGCCCAAGCCCCTGGGAACTTCTGGCTGACCAGCTCTATAAAGCAGGACACCTGTGATCTCCTTCGTCCAATTAACCTGCTCAAGCAGCTTATAAAACTCAGGGTGGGCCAGGGGGATAGCTCTGTAGCATAAGCACCTGCCTGGCAAGTACAAGGTCTAGAGTTCAATCCCTGGTACTGCAAAAAGTTTAAAACAAAGAACTCAGGGAGACACCAGCGTTTCCCAGTTTACTACAAAGGATATGGCACGGGAGCTTCTGTGCCCTTCTAGGTATGATACGCTCCAGAAATCTCTGTGTTTAACCTGGAAAGAACTCAAAACTGGTCCTTTCTGGTTGTTTTTTGTTTTGTTTTTCTTCTTTTGGTGCTGGGAATGGTACTCAGGACCTTGTACTTGCCAGGCAGCGCTATATCCCCAGCCTTGGTTGCTTTTAATGGAAGTTTGATTACATAAGCATGACTGAGTGATTACTATTCATTATCAATTTAAGCTTTAATCCACTTCCCAAAAATTGTAATCTTGCCTTTAATTTTGACTTGGTCTCCGCAAGGACCAGCACTCATCTAGCAGTCAGTTTATTTGGTGTTTTTGTTTGTTTGTTTGTTTGTTTGTTTTTTTTGGTGGTACCAGGAATTGAACTCTGTACCTTGCACTTGCCAGGCAGGTGCTTAAGCCTCTGAGCTCTCTCCCCAGCCCCTACCAGTCAGTTTACAAGCATACAAAAAAAAAAAAACTTGTTACTCAAGAGACTCTCCTAATTTTATGAACTATATAACCAGAAGTGGGAAGAAGACCAATTATACATTGCACATTAACACAGTAATTATTATGGAATACAATGCCTTGACATTTGACTTTTTTTTTTTTAATTTTAGGGCAGGGTCTACAGGGTGTTCAGGATCTCACTACTAGATTGGACCCGTAGTGATCCGCCTGTTTACAGCCTCCCAAGAGCTGGGATTATAGGCGAACCACCACACCCAGTCTCAGTTGCTGTCTCAGCACACCTCTGGGGTCAGGGCCTGCACTGTAGGCCCTGTGGATGGAACTCCCAGCCCCTGAGTTTGCTTGCAGGCACTTTAATCCGCTGAGCTATTTGGCCAGCCCGATATATGACTTTTTAAGAAACTAAAATTTTAATATTTTAACTACTCAAGGGACTATATATAGAGAGAGGAATATATGGGATAGTGGTAAGCAGTTCAGCTAGGGGAAAAAAAAAGCCCATCAGAAAAATGATCAAGACTGCTGAAACTGCATGACTTCTTGTCTCAAATTCCTGTTTCTACAAATAAGAATTAATGTGGCAGCTACAGTGGGGTTGAGTCAGTTGTGACCTTGCAGTGACCCATGAACCTTGTGAACCTGGACAAAGCAGCAGACATCCAGGCCCTGGGTTACACCATCACTCTAAGCTGTGTCTGATGGTGTCCACCTCCAGAGCCATGGTGAGGCATTAACTGAACTTTACTCAGCTCTGCCCGTAGGAAGAGGGTGGCACATGGGCCACCGCAGCAACAGGTCTGACCTCAGACCCTGCCCTGTGGTTACGGTGGGGACAGGACAAGTGGGCTAAGAAGGCTGGACTGCCTGGGGGCCTGCGAGCCAGGGTGGGCGTTCAGAGCCTCTGGGGGGCCACCAGCATCTGGGCTGATAGGGTCCCCTTGACAGCTGGGTGGCCCAGGTACCAGGTACCTGCGCTTGAGCAGATGGGCAGGAGCTTACTTGGGAGGATGCCTGCTTTGGTCCTTGTGTAGTGAATGAACATAATTAAAATGAGAAGCCCTGCCCAGGGCTGGGGAAATGCCATTGTTTGTGGGGTCAACAGTGTCCCCCATTGACCCACCCACAGACCTCAAGTTCAAAGGTCCCTTCCCAGTTGTAGTCACTACAAATCTTAAACTGAAATCCCACAACTAGCAAAGTATGTTTCGAACTAAAGATCACAGCATCTCACCAGTACTGGGTAAGGCCCAACCATGAAAGTACTGACTCAGGGTTGGCTGTGACAGTAATGGTACGGCTCTTTAACTATAAGCCAAGGGAGAAGAGTAAACACAAGTCCATGGTACACTCTTTGCTTCACCACAGAAACCACAGAATCCTGAGGCGGACTACTTTGCCTAAACAGGCTCTTAAACAACTGAGCTAATGGGCAAGACGCCTGCCCTTTTAAAATATAATTTTAGGGCTGGTGAGATGGCTCAGTGGTCTAAAGCACCTACTTAGAACAAGCTTAGCAAAGCACAGGGACTGCGGTTCAATCCCCCAGCACCACATGCCAGCCAGCCCTGCCCCCTGGTGGGCTGAACTGGCCACACACACATAAATAAATAAAAAAATAAAATAAAATATAATTTTATTGGTATTCCGGCCCCTGTGACCATTTGTTTTTGTGTACAGTATTATACAGGATTTGCCTTTAATAATGTTATAGTGTTAGAAAACTAAAAGTCAACTGTGGGGTTAGTCATTACTAGCAGACATCAGTGCCACACTTAGGCCTTCATGACATTACTATGAGTTTTTGTGGGTTTTTTTGGCAGAACCAGGGATTGAACTCAGACCCTTGCACTTGCCAGGGAAGCACTTATTCTACTAAGCCATCTCCCGGGCCCCCAATAATGAGTTGTTTTATCTGCTTTTAAACTACATATAAGGGGCTGGGGAGATGGCTCAGTGGAATAAGCGCTTCCCTGGCAAGCGCAAGGGCCTGAGTTTAATTCCTGGTTCCACCAAAAAAACAAAATAAATAAAATAAACTACATATAAAAGACTTGATAGGGGCTGGAGAGATGGCTCAGTGGTCTAAAGCACCTACTTGGAACAAGCTTGGCAAAGCACAGGGACCACAGTTCGATCCCCCAGCACCACATGCCAGCCAGCCCCGCCCCCTGGTGGGCTGAGCTGGCCACACACACACAATAAACAAATGTTAAAAAAAAAAAAAAAAGACGATAGTATCTAGTTGAAAATAGGAAAGAGACCACCTTTCCTCTCAGATCCCTAACCTCATGGAGGCCATTTTGAACCCTATCTCTTGCTCACTAAATTCTGCTGTAGAACCCTAAATCTTGGTTACCTTCTCAAATGGCTGCTCTTCTTTGTTTATTGCCTACAGTGGCAAAGGTTAACGTTATTAGATCTTGGGGTTGATTTTTTTTTTTCCCGGAACCGGGGATTGAACTCAGGTCCTTGAGCTTGCCAGGGAAGCGCTTATTCCACTGAGCCATCTCCCAGCCCCGTTATTAGATCTTGGAAAATCTCTATATTCACTGAAGGTCTAGACCTTCTGTTTTTTGAAACAGGGATTTAAGACTGCAAATGACATTTTGGATTGGGGCTTTCTACAACTGATAATATCATGAAAAAAACAATCCAAAGGAAAGTACCGTAACACACCCCAGAGTTTGGCTCAGCTGTTTCACCAAAAATGTGGTGAGGTGCTTTTGGCTTTCATTTTTGCTGTTTGCTTCAGTTTTTTGTTCATGCAATTGCTGTCTCCGCAGAGGCAATGAATGGAGAAATCGCCCTAAGGTCAGCGTTTTCATTAATTACCTCGCTTTGACTGCTATAGTATTACAACTCTTGGAATATACAGCATCGATTCTACTATCAGATTTGCCTGGAGTATGCCAGCACAGCGGACATCGTATTCCAGAGACGGCCTCAGTCACTGGAATGAGTGGGCGGTTCTTTTGCAGTTTACTATCTCCTAGAGCAGCGGCCCTGGGCGCGGGACCGATGGAGAACTAGATTGGATCACGCTGCTGTCCATCAACGGAAGGCTCCTGGCGCCTACTGTTTTGCAGTATGATTTGGGGGTCGCGCTCCGCCCCTGGAAGGCTGGAGCAAGGAGGCGAGGTGCTGGGAATCGGTGTATGAATGTCTCTTCTCATTGGATGAGTGCCATGTCAATCATATTGTACCCTGCTCCGGTTGGTGGGAAGATTCCAGGTAGGTAGCGTGGACACCCTGCTGCCAGCTCCAGATCTGCGACCGAGCGCGTGACGTCTCAAATATTTGTTGTTGGGAGGTCTGGGCTTCATTAATTATTCATTAGGTACTTTTAAAGGCTTCCCCGATTGGTGGCTGAGAGGCCTGGTCCAGTGTGTCTTATCGAGAGATACGTGTCACTGTCTACTAGACCAAAGAAGCTCTATATAAATTATTCCAATAAGGATGGGGCGTGGCTACGCATAGATTAGTCAAATGAGCCGGGAGGGCAGCCGGCTGCGAATTAGCCTAAGTTATTAAAGATGGCGGCGGAGCGAAGTCGCTCCCCGATGGACTCGCCGGTGCCGGCCTCTATGTTCGCCCCGGAGCCCAGCTCCCCCGGGGCTGCCAGGGCCGCGGCAGCCGCCGCCCGACTCCACGATGGCTTCGACTCGGACTGCAGCGAGGACTGCGAGGCGCTCAACGGTGAGCCAGAACTGGACCTCACTAGCAAGGTAGGCCCGGGCGGCGGCGGCAGGCTCTGAGGGGGTCCAGGGAGGGCCGAGCGGTCTCTGGGGCGACGGCTGGGGCCGCCGACTGTCGGGGCGCGGGGAGGCCGGGGCGCGGAGAAGGGCCGAGCTATGGGACGAGCGAGTGCCGGGGCCGTCCCCCACCTCCCGTGCCCAGTAGCCACCTCGGCTATCCGGTGGCGCGGACCCGGCCTCCCGCGCTCCCTGCTCGCGCCAAGATCGCAGCCTTTCGGCTCCGCCACGTGGAACGGGGGCGCCCGACGGCGGCAGCAGCCGCGTGGGGTCCACTGCAGCGCGCCATACCGCCGCCCTCTCCCTCGGTTCCCCTTCGTGAGAGTGGCTTTCTCCTGGGGCGTCCCAAACGGCTGGGAGGTCCAGGTGGCTTGGTTTGGGTCGTGGGGAGTGTGGGGATGTGGGGGGCAGGATTCTCTGGAAGACAGTCTGAGGGGAGCTTGGGGTGGCCGACGGGTTCCTTCCTGGTCTCGGAAAGGAAACAGAAAGTGGTCACTCACCCGGGAGAAGGATGCGTATGAGAGACGTCCACTTTTGCTAGTCCACCCAAGACAAAAATGGAAAGATGGGCACGACCCAGATCTCACCATCTGGGAGTGAAACTTCGTCTTATATGAGTGGAGTAATGAAGGACGTTTTAAATAGTGTTTTGTGAGCTTTTGAGAAGGTAGGCAGGACTTAAGGGCTCATCCATCTGCTTGGGAGCGTGGAGAAGCAAAAAAGTAAGATTAAGATGTGACTGGTGTTTTGAAGGCGCTTAACATCGCTGAAGGGATGAATACCAGTTTGGGAGTCAGACAGGGATGGGTTCCTTTTCCCGCTTTGTGATTTAAAAGGCTCCGTGACCTTGGAAAATTTCTTAAACTCACAGATCACCAGCTATCCTCTTAAGTACAGATTCGTTGCACAAATTCAAAGTGTAGGTTGAGACAAGTAGTCAGTCCATACTGGGGACACAGTAAATATTTGAGGTGAACTGGCTAGTTGATTCAGTAATTCCTGTGCAGATTAAATAGCAGTTGATCGAAGACAGAACACCAATACCACTTCCTACCTGTTGTAGATTAGATACAGATAGAGGTTTTATCAAAACTTTGAAAATGATTGTGACTTTTCATAGCTTTCGATGGCAAAACTGTATAAAACTTGGCTCTAAATTGGAAAGAACTTTCCTTGTGACCTAAGTGAGCAGTTTTTAAACCGTTCTTTTTTCTAGTCTCAGCTGAGCAGTTGGAGATCATCTTGGTTCTGTTTGTCACAGTGGTCCTGTCTGGTGCCTCTAATGCTATAGGAGTTACTGTGGGGTTTGGAGACAGTCAGGGGAAAAGGGTGAGGCAGTGTGGCCCTCGCAATTACAAGCTCTGATGAGTCAACTCAGGCAGTAGGACAGGGATCTGGCTGGAGTGGACCAGCTGGATATTGGACACATGGTCAAGGTACTGAAGAAACCTGAAAACACAATGGGAAGTGGCAAAGCGAGCTTATTTAATGTTCATGGTGAGGGAAGTATTACCTCATTTTGTAGCTGAGGAAATCCTTACTGTTTTGAAAGATAGATGTGAATGTAATACATTGTATGTATTTGCATATAGAAGTAGGTGGGAAGGTGGTGGTGTTGAAAAGAAAATTGACCATGTGGAGGAAAAGATGAGTTGAAGAGATTAAATCCTGGAAAGATTAGATGTTAGATATTTATGTCTTTATTGTAATTAAGTGTGAGACCTAAGGTGCCAGGTGCTTCCAAAGGGAGAAACAGTTTGTGAACAGGATTGGCAAGTGTAATGCAAGGTTTGCTTAGATGTGATTGGAGGAAGAGAACTTTGTAATGACTGTTATTGAAGTGCAGACTAGATGCTTTACATGTCATTTGGTATTTAAAATGGCTATAGAATGCAAGATAGTATTAACTCTGTTTTCTGGTTTGAAAATCTGAGACTTAGAGAGAGATTAAGGTCTTTGTCCAAGATCTCACAAGAGAGTTAAGTCTGACACACCTATGTAATGGTGAGTGGCCTGTACAAATAAATGGTTGATACCTTAATATTATTGACAGGAATTTGCATAGTGATGGTGTTAATACTCACCTTGATGGTATTGATGTTTAGTTGAAGACGAGTCTTGCAGGCAGGTTCTCCTGTTGTTTGCCTAATAGTTAAAAGAGGTAAGATAAGGTGGAACAGAATTCTTTTGTTACTATGGGAGTTGTTGGCCTGTGTGTGGAGGGTATGGCTGTATATGAGATCTTTGACCTTGAGTTTCCAGATACAAATTGCAGGTAGAAGGCTGGCATGTAGGTGTAAAGTGCTGCTCATCAGTTTCTTCTCATTGTATTGTATGCTCAGTCAATTGGGTCCTCACCTCCTCTACTGTGGGTCATAGCTCAAAAACACACTTATTTATCACCTGGATCATACAAGGCTATTGAAGGAGATGCAGAGAAGGTGTGAGGGGCTGTGTAGTTCCCGTCAGTCAGGATGCTGTGGGATTCTGTCAGCATTTTTGGTCAGACTGTGGTGCTCTGTAGTAAGTGTGGTCCTAAGGCTGTTGGTTTCTCTTCTAGCTGGTTCTAGTGAGCCCTACATCAGAGCAGTATGACAGCCTACTTCGGCAGATGTGGGAGAGGATGGACGAGGGATGCGGAGAGACCATATATGTCATTGGGCAGGGATCAGGTGAGCATAGTTTTCCTTTCATTTGTTTTTAACAATTATGTAGAGCACATTTTATCCTTTTGTCAACTTTCTGCTCATGTGTCTGAGTTGTAGTAACACTTCAGTATCTGCAGAACTATCTGGAGGGTTTTTTTAATACCAGAGATCGAACTCAGGACCTTGCACTTGCCAGGCAGGCTCTTAGGCCGCTGAACTATCTCCCCAACCCTTCCGAGCAGTTTTACAGATGTTTCCTTTCTACCTCAGTTCTCCCCGTATGCATAAAAGGAAATGAAGCACAAAGCAAGGAAACTTCTTGTCCAAGGTGATAGGGCAAGTCATAGGTCTAGAATTAAGCCGGTCCTGGACAGCTCCCCTCCACACCCTATTTATGGGTCCCACTGCTATTATCTCCTGCTTAGCAGAGAATCTCCATGATTCTTCTTGATGTCATCAAGGAAAAGATGCCCAGAATCTGTCTTCAGTCATGCCACCGTAGTCCGGACCACAAAGACCATTCAGTCTGCTGTGCTATTAGAGGCTACCTCCACTCCCCAGTGGGTCCTTTCAGTCACAGAAGCTGGGAAGGTGGTGACTATTGTGGTTATTGTCTCCAACCTGCTTATTCATTGTAATGGAGCCTCCTGTTTTAGAAGAATGCATCCGCCATGACAGAATCCCAGATCCCAGATTATATCATGAGTTGTTATTTTTTCCTAGTTCACACCCTCCAATATAAGGCCTGCTTACCTTCCTCTTTATTATTATTATTATTTTTTTTTTTTTTTTTTTTTTTTTTTTTTTTTGGTGGAACCAGGGATTGAACTCAAGCCTCTACGCTTGCCAGGCAAGCGCTTATTCCACCGAGTCATCTCCTCGGCCCCCTTCCTCTTCATTGTAACTTTATCTTTGCTGACATGACAGCTGAGATTGTTAACAATTATGAATTCAGCCCGTAGCAGCAATTGTCTTTATCATCTTTGTGGAAAGCCAGGGTGGGCTTGGATGCATCTTTAGGGGAACACTTTCCTTTGCTCAGTGTACGCATTTTTTTTTTTTTTTTTTTTTTTTTGCAGAACCAGGGATTGAACTCAGGCCCTTGTGCTTGCTAGGCAAGCACTTATTCTACTGAGCTATCTCCCCAGCCCCAGTGTAGGCATTGTAAAGGCAGGTTATAATTCTCTTGTAGTTTGAATTTAAGGTTGAGGACATCTCAAAATCATTCTTTAACAACTTGACATAGATCTAGTAAATATCTTACACGGCTTGATACTATTATAAAGCTGTTTAGAATGTTTAAAATCTGTTCCTTGCAGCTAGGGGTGTGCTCTGTGGTAGAGCACCTGTCTAGCATGTGCAAGGCCCTGGGCTCAATCCTCAGCACTACACCTTCATAAGATCTGATTCATACCCCAAGAAGGAAAGATGTCATAGAAGAAAATAATCTTTTTTTTTTTTTTTTGGCAGAACTGGGGATTGAACTCAGACCTTTGTGCTTGCCAGGCAAGTACTTATTCTACTGAGCCATCTCCCCAACCTGAAAATAATCTTTAGAAATGCTACAAGCGTGACAAAAGGAAAAAGGGTGTGCTTTCCATATACTGCTGTTCTGTCCTTTGAGCTGTCCCTTCCTATCTCTTGTTTCGCATCCCGGCCGCCACTTCTCCACTTATGAGTCTTATCAGCTAAGAGAAGGCATGGGCAGAGAGATAGGCAAACTGAGAGGTTGCCTGGCAGGAAAGGGAGGGAGTTGGTCAGCTTTGTCAAGTGCTAAAGATGCAGAGGGCAGATGGCTAACATAGCAACAGTGTCAAATTCAGAAAAGCCTATTCAACTTGATGACTAAAGAATTCATTGAGGGCTGGAGAGATGGCTCAGTGGTCTAAAGCACCTACTTAGAACAAGCTCAGCAAAGCACAGGGACCGCGGTTCAATCCCCCAGCACCACATGCCAGCCAGCCCTGCTCCTGGTGGGCTGAGCTGGCCACACACACACACACACACACACACACACATAAATAATGTTTAAAAAAAAAAGAATTCATTGATAGCCTTTCAAAAACTTGTCAGGTATGCATCTTGCCCACTCTAATAAGGTGAACCACTCAGAGGTCACTTTATACTTGTAGAATTTCAGAAACCACATGAAGGTCAGTTTTGACCAGTGTTGGGACTGGTCTTTAAAGACCCAGGTTCTTAAAACCCCCCCTTTTCCTTGTGTCCTTTAATGTGGACTCTGCATATTACCATGCCTTGGCAACTCACAGCTAATTATCCCTTCTGTGGCAGAGTGTAAGTAGATGTCAGGCTCTCATTAGCTCATCTCTTACACACCCGAGCATTATCCTCACATCTCCAGTTGGATGCTGTTAGATTCACAGTGACTTCTTCCTGCCGGAATTCTTTAGAGACAGAACTAGTTAAACAAGTTAAGCATCAGGCAGAGGACCCAACCAGATGCCAGGCCCCAAGGGCTTCATCACTGATGTCCTGCGTGTCCATAGTATGTTACCTCTGTTTAATATGTCCTTCTGTGAAATGGAGATAGTGATACCTCCCCTCCACCTCAGAGAAATTTTGAATGGATAAGTTAGACATTGAAAACTTGTGAGCATTACAGAACAATGTGTTCTTTCCTTTTTTTTTTTTTTTTTGCAGAACCAGGGATTGAAGTCAGGCCCTTGCGCTTGCCAGGCAAGCACTTATTCTACTGAACCATCTCCCTGACCCCAGGAATGTGTTCTTAACATATGGAATGTGTTCTTGACATATGTTTTTAGTTTAAGGTGGGCAAAGGAGGCACAGCATTAGGGCCTCGTAGGTGTGGGTCTGGAGGCTGGTAGATCTGTTTGCCTGATGACTTTTCTCCTTGTGTGAAAATGTGCTGATAAGAGAACCTAGTCCATTGTCTAATAAGAGTAAGTAGGAAGACTTCAAGGAAATCACATATAAATGGCATATAAATGTTTGCAAATATTAGTTAGCATAATAATTTCTTTAGGATCCAAGATAATAGTTTATCATGAGATTATTATTATTATTATTATTATTATTTTAGAAAGAGCTTTGTTCATTTCTCGAATTCTAAGTAATGACTTAGAAGAGCCAGGTTCTGTACTGAAAGTTAGCTCTTGGGGGTGGGCGGGGAACTTTAGTCTGTAGGCCAGAGAAAGAGCTGCTACTCAGAAGAGCCGCCTCTGAGTAGGGTTGATCATAAGGGATGAGCAGAAGTTGTGCTGATGAGTAGAGTCAGTGGCCAGCAGGCAGAGGAAGCCACCCGCATAGAGGCATGGAGGCAGTGGAGACTGGAAGATTGAGCTGGCCAGAGAGATGTGGGAAGGTGGGAGTGGCAGGAGGGGAGAGTGGGCCCCAGCTAAAGAGATATATATATATATATATATGAATTTGGTACAGGATCTCACTATGCAGTGCTGGGATTACAAGTGTGCACCACCACGCCTGGACTCTGGCCGGCTCAGCCCACCTGAAGGTGGGGCCTGTGCAGCATGTGGTGCCAGGGATGGAACCCTGGTCCTTGCCTGTACTTGCCTAAGCAGGTGCTTAGTCTGCTGAGCTATCTCACTGGCCCTTCAGAGGTTAAATTTTTATCCCCAAAGTATGGGCAGCCCTTGCAGCACATTGAGCAGAGTAATGCTTATAGGAAAGATAATGAGCTGGCAGGACAGAACTGTGATGCGGGCCAAGCACGGCTGCTGAGAGGGCTTCAGTAATTGGAACGCTGTGGCTTTTTTTCTTGGCCTTTGTCTCCATCCTTAGAATGAGGAATTCCATGCGTGCTGGAGAAGAGTGATGTGCCACTGAGAGCCCAGGTGGACAAGGTGATGTTGGTGATGACCTGTGGTGTGGAGCAGGTCCTGAAGGCCCTGCTTTTTGTTACACAGAGGGAGGCAGGGGAGGATGGGTAGGATTGAGAGCGTGGTAGAATGGCAACCTCCCCAGTGTCCTCTTAGAGACACTTTGCTCAGCCTTTCTCTGACCCAGGAGGTCTTCAGAGCATCTTTGGCTGTGCTTTTAGGAATATCAGCCCAGCCACTCCCTCTTGGCTGATTTGTTTTACATTTTACAGACTTTTCAGGCTACCACATAGGAAAGACACTCCGTGGGGGGTATCAAGAAATGGTTGCAATGTGATCCCCACCCTCAAGATGCTCCTGTGTGAGGGGAGGGCGTGGTCCAGAACACTGTTGCCTGAGGTGGTGCTTGGCAGATGCTCTAAGGGAGGTAAAGATTACCGTGGCCTCTGAGCCGAATGGTAGGATCTTTCCAGGAAGAGGGACACTGGGATAGGGTGCCTTATCTAGAAAGCCCATCAGCAGAGGTGTAGGGCTGGACCATGCTGGGAACCCAGGAATGGGGGGTCAGGGCCACTTGCACTGGGACAGAACATACAGAGGGAGACTGAAAAGGAGGTCCCTTCCACCTCATCTTAGGGAGGCCCTTAGGAGAGGCTAGAATTGTTGCTACATCTGGAAAGCCATTCAGAGGTTTTGATGTGAAAGTGACTACATGTATTTATATAGGCGCTTAAGCCTGTGGGTCATGGGGGATGAATGGAAGGAACAGAGGCTGAATTTGTAAGACCAATTAGGAGTTTCGTGTGGTGATTTGGGTAGAATAAGGGCCTGTGTCAGGCTGATGGCAGTGGAAGAGGGAAGCTGAAGAGCCAAGTCAGCAGGACTGGCCTGACGCATGCTAAGCGTGGGTGACTGGAAGGCTTGAGTACGTTTATTAGGTGGGAAGGTGGGAGGAACTGCTCCGGCAGTAAATAAGAGGGACACTGGCAAGGAGAAAAGGCTCTAGATTTAGCCTTGGATGACACAGCTCGCATGGGGGCCCCTGTTCACCTCTGACTTCTGTTTACCCTACCATTCAAAAGGAGCAGTAATGCCTGGCACATAGGGGACAGTGAGTACTCCAGTGCTTTTCTGACATTAGTCATTTTGTGCCAATGATTGAGTTTGGATACCAGACTTTAGGAGTTACCTGCTAGCCCTTAGATTTTCAGTGTGGAGCTCCGGGACAAGGGTGGTGGTAGAAGTAAATGCTTTTGTAGTTTCCAAAATGACAGCTGAAACAGAGTGTGGGGAGGTGCACCTGTGATCCCAGCACACAGCAAGCTGAGGCAAGGGGAGCACAGCAGGTTTGAGGACAGCCTGGAATACATGAGACACTGTCTCAAAACAAATGGACGAACAAATGAACAAAATGACAGGTGAAGCTACAGAACAGAAAGGCTAAGTACAGAATTTCTTTTTCGTTTTTGAGATAGAGACTTGCTAAGTTGCCCAGGTTGGGCTCAAGCTTGAGATCTTCCCGGTTCCCATGTCCCTGGGATTTTTTTTTTTTTTTTTTTTTTT